TGAAGATGATCTCAATAAAAGAGTGAAACGTTGGCACGATAAAGAAAATGTTTTTCTGAAACCTACATCACACCCGACCGCATCTCACGATATCTGAATAACTTTTTACATATCTGTATAACGTTCCCATTTGATGGAACCTTACAAATTATCGAATAAAAAGGGGAAAATAATTTAAAAAAATATATAATTGAAAATAAACAAAGAGATATCAATTCTCTCCTTACAACAGGCCAATAAGGTGCACAGAGGGAGGGGCCAAAGGAGTAAGAGTTAAAACAAGAAGAGTCTTGAATCAGCGGTCAGACTGAAAGGACAATATTGAGAAGGGCTGTGTTTTTTCAAATTAATTAGTGGAATCTTTATTTTATAAGAAAAGCGTTCCAGGCCTCGTGAGGTGAGCCTTCCATTTTAATTTACCTGTAGCAATAGTTTGTTTTGTATTTTGATAATTAGTTATTTCAATTTATTTTAGATTTGAGAAAAAGAAGAATTTTATTTTATGTTATATTATTATTTCAAAAGAATATTTAAATAATTTGTTTTGGTTTCCTTCGTGAATTATAATAAACCCTCATTTTAAAGGAATTTGTTTATTCTATTTTTTCTTCTGTTTGAAACAAAATTGAGAATATTTACATTGTTTTGCTTTTCTTTCTTGAAAATTCACTTAATAAATCAATAATAATATAAATAATTAATAATTCACAAATTATTCAATTAATAAATCCTTATTCTAAAAGTAATTTGTTTATTCTGTTTTTTCCCTCCGTATGTGACATCTGTATGGTGTAATTCATTTAATTATCAAGATACCATTGCCATTGGACTTGGTTTTGAACACATGAGCTTAATTATACAATTTATTAAATCATTGAGTTGATGTTTGTTGTACTGTGGAATATTGGAGAAAATACTTTTAAAATATAATACCACTTTAGTAGCATTTGGAACTCCTTAAAACCTCTGAATTCGAATTAATTAATTTAATTTATGTTAATCCCTTAAACTTTCTTACTATGCTAAACTCTATGATTTAAAACATAAACTTTTAATGAAAAGGTTTTTTTTAAACAACAAACCTTGCGAAAATAATAGGACAAGATTCGGATGAAATTAGACCTACGATTAAATCGACCAATAAAATCGAGAAGTTTGTTTTCTGGTATAAACTTGAATAATCCACTTTTTGTAAAAAAAAAAAAAAAAAAAAAAGTCTATAGTTTGGTACATATTTACAAACCTGAACTTATTTGCTGGTCATCATGTCAGTATTCCTTATAGAGCGCGAGTAAGAATGCCACTCCATACGAATTTTGTGTTGTGCATTTTGAGAATGAATGTATTTATTAGAGGGAATGTGTAAGAAGGCCAACGATAGAATATTGAGTACCTCATCGACCCTCAATTAGAATCGGCCTTCCGACGTTACAAATGCGATTTGATAAAAAAGATTGAAGGGAAATGGAAGTCAAAGCCTGCCTATATATCCGGCATGTAGACAAAGATGGCTCGATGAATCCTACAAAATTGAGAAGTATCATTCCTAGGCTCCATACAATAGGATAGACGTATTATGTGCTCTGAAGCACACCAGCGAGTATTGCGATCCTGATCTTTTTTATAGCGAACAGAGATTTTTTATTGGGTACTCGTTTTGTGTTTCTTTTTGTTATGTACACTGAGAGTGATTGTATTTATTAGTGTGATGGTGTAATGTCTGATGGCGGAATATCGAATACCTCATGTACATTCAATCAGATCTGGCCCTCCGAGGAAATCTCACATCTCAACATCTCGTCGATTGGAGGCACTCGGAGAAACTGAATCGAAGAAGAGGAATGATACTCATAGATAATACGCCATGCGACGTTGACACATGGACACTCACTTTGGGGGCTTTGACCACGTACGTGTCCATCATGTAGAATAAGCTTGCTCGGTGTGTCCCATATAATTGAAGGGCGTCATTCATTGGCTCCGTATAGAGAGCGAGTAGGAATGTCGCCCACATGAGAATTGTGATGGACCACGACTGCGAGTCTTTAGGTCCAGTTACGTTTTTTGGCATCAGAGCAGTTTCATTGTATATAATATTCGGTGTATATCTTGTATTTTGAAAGTGAATGTATGTATTAGCGTGAATGGCAAGTCCAATACGAACCCATAGGTCCTCAATTAGATTAGTTAGTGTGGCAGAGGAATATCAAGTATATCAACCCCCCGACATCAGAGAATAGTATGTAAATATGAAAGATCGTTTGTTTAAAAAAGAATGAGTGCGTGAGTGTGCCTAGGTTTAAAAGCTACATGCGTTGAGAATTGAAATGAAAGCCCGTGGAGTAAAACTTCGGTGGCAGGACGGATATTACCAAAGTCTGACAGCTAAAAAAACCAATGAGTGTTCATTATGTCAATTCTATATATATGTGTAAAATTGAGCTTACGTAAATCAACCAATACTTTCAGATTGTACCAAGAATGTCACTTAAGGTCTTACCAGTATTCGATAACAATAACAAATAAATCGAGTAACTATTTCAAATGGATTTTGTTATAGTTAAACTCGCACATTCACTACCTTGAACTTTTTTCAGTTTAGTACTTTGAATATCCAGTTGAAAATGTGATCATTGATATACAATCATGCAATGCAGTTAAATGGACGGTGATTGCAGAGCATTCGGCCTTGCCTTAGGGAACAATCTTATCACTACTGTTCTCTACTATCGCCTTTATTTAAATAATTTCTTTGTCAGCGGCGCATGCAATTTTTTTTATTCGCAAAAACAAAATTACTCAGGTAAATCGTCTTTGTGAAATTAAATTTAAAAATATATATCCCATCGGTTAGTATGACAATGATTTAACTGGACAAAATTAACATGACAAATAATTTTTATTGTTGATGACTTTTGAAGTTAAGTATAAATTAAGGTATTAAGACAGGCAATACCTAGCTGGTTCAAAATAAATAATCATGTTGTTCTTATATTCCTAATTAATTCATAGTGCAGTATATTTCTATTTTCATTTTTTCTAAATAAAACGACTTATTTTGAAATGTGTATAATAAAGTAATATACTTTGTAATTGGTAAAATTATGCTGATGGCGAGTCAAATTGTAAAGATTATTTTGACCAATTTACATGAAATTACTGTATCCAGCTAAATGTCGAATTATGCCACACACAAAAAAAATAATTTCAATGGTTTTCATCGATTAGGACATCAGCCCGTCCAACGAGGGAAGAGTTTCACCAATAAAACCACAATACATTTACACAAGTTGTTTCTGAAGTGTAATTTGTTGTTTTGGAGAGCAAATCTTCTCGAGTAACGTCTCACTCAGTAAAACAGTTAGAGAAAGGTCAATAAAATTCATCGGATTAATCCTCATAACGTACTCAAGGATAACTGGGTTATCTCCAAGATTTACAGCTCCGGATCCATTTCAATGTTTTCCCCGGGAACTTTTATTAATTCCATTAAACAATGGAACAATCACTCGTCTCCCTCGGCCCGGGAGGAGAGTTCTTCTGGTATCTTTTTTAATCTTAGTAAGTAAGGAGCTCGGCCGGGGGCGAGGGGATAGATGTAATCCCATATCTCAACAAGAGTTCGGGGGAGGGCAGCAGCGTTTATTGTATTGGATCAATGTTTCCACTTAGACATAATGAGATGAGCAGGAACAGTCGAGTGCCGTATTCTGATTAACTTGCACCCAGGCGAATTTGACGATTCTTCATTTGGGCCTTTTGTCAAATCGAAGGCGTCAGACGGTCAGGTCAGACTAGACATTCAGTTAGGAATGTGAATTTTGAGTATGCAATAAAAAAATTAAACACGGTTAGCTCCCTATCCCAGTCTCGGTTCTTGACAAATCGGATTCAACAGACGTTTCGGCCGGACAAGACATTGAGTTACTTATTTTTAGTGTGAAGTAGAAAAATTAAACAAAACTGTCAACTACCTATATCAATCTCTATTGGTGTATGAGATGGTGTTTGTTAAATTTGGACTTTACCAAGGCAGATGGCTCAACATTGTAAATATTTTCAATTAATTAAGGTTTTGGTTGAGATACAAAAGTCACAAGCGGGATTCGAACCTACGACCTTCGGCTATATACGTCAGTGCTCTATCACTTGAGCTAGCGTGACTTCGATCCACTAGGACACTAATTTCCCATCTCAACCACACGTTTTGAATTGTCCCTCCATTTTGCCATTTTTCAAATGTCGTGTAATCTATTTGATTCTCGGCGACAAATGAAATGGCCAGGGAGAGCTTTAGTGAAGTATACTTCATTTTGCTTATTACATTTATTAGGTTTCCTGGTCCGCTTGACCAATTAAATTCTTTTCAATTAATTAAGGTTTTGGATGAGATAAAAGGAAATAAAAGTGGACCACGAAAACTAGTGACTTTAATAAGTAAAAATGAAGTATACTTCAGTAAAGCTCTCCGTGGCCATTTCTTTGGAGAATCAAATAGATTACACGACATTTGAAAGATGGCAAAATGGAGGGAAAATTCAAAAGGTGGGGTTGAGATGGGAAGTTAGTGTCCGAGTGGATCGAGGTCAAGTGGTAGAGCAGCGGCGTATTTAGCCGAAGGTCGTGGGTTCGAATCCCGCTAGTGACAATGACTTTTTTATCTCAACTAAAAAACCTTAATTAATTGAAAAATTGGTCAAGCGGACCACGAAAACTAGTAAATAGAGTAACAACAATTTAAATAATGCATTATTGCTAAAAGGAAATTTTGGAGGCGTGTGACATTTGTTGGAAGAGTACAGTAGATGGAATAAAACGGTTCGAATCCCGCTTGTGACACTGACTTTTTTATCTCAACCAAAACCTTAATTAATTGAAAAGAATTTATTTGGTCAAGCGGACCACGAAACCTAATAAATTGTAAATATTGGCAGTAATTAACGGGCCATCATAAGCTAAAAGACCCAATAGATAAATTAAAATAATAGTAAAATTCTTACCTTATATAATCATTTTTGCATAAAATCATATTTGATTTTGTGAAACACGATGATCCTATATCCGCTAACATCGCTCCACAACAGGTACATTTTAGACAAGAATTGTGCCAGTAACGGTCTAGGGCATGAAGTAGAAACCTGGAATAAAGAAAATCGATAAAACCCTGAACCTTAAGTATTCAACAGATAGAAAGTTTCTACGATAAAAACAATTAGCTAATTAAGATTTTCTTTTATGTTAATATAAAGAAAATACATGAATCATAAGGTTCACGAATCTGTTTGTATTTTCATAATTATCTTCTCATTAATTATTTATTATATAAACACTTTCGTTAACCGAGTCTCAATTCACTGGTTTACTTTTTCCAATTTCATGAATGAAAAGTGAAAAATGAAATCTAAGCAATATACGGTGAAGTTATAATCCTGGAAAACAAACGTTCTTGATAGCCGAAGACGACCAGATTGTATCACAGACAAAGTGTTTCTCGTTTACAGAAAGTTCGGAAGATGTGTAATTCGCTTTCAACAAGATCCCATTTCTTGAAAGACCTTTGCGATTGGACGAGGATCCTATATAAAAATAAAGGCATCGATCATGGGGAAAGCCAAATGAACCTTCAATAAACTTAGAAGTGACTCACCCCAATATCATTACATTTGCTCGGATTGAAGAGGAAACCTTTACCTCTTATTTAGTTCCCGTCCAAGTCGATCGGTTAAATCTATCAAGGAAAAACGGCCTTCATTACGTGAAGTTCAAAGCCTCCTTTTAAAATTGGTGTAAGCAATAGTCACACTTCGTTCTGACACAAAAGTTTATTTGGTAACTGTTAGTTAAGTTAGTATCAGTGAATGCTGAAGTTAAAATTTCCTGCAATAAATCATTCAACAAACGGGACAAAATTTCAATGTTTGCACATTTTTTTAACAATACCCTCATCAATTTAAAATGCTAATTCTCTGCGATTATGACTAAAGAGAAAATAACGACCTCGTTACAATGTAATTTTTAACAAATGGCTCACTCATTAAAACAAAAATCTTTCCGGTTATTTATGAAATCAATTCCTCAACACCTTTCTTGCCATAAATATTTTTGTTGTATGCCCGAATTCTACATAATCGGCTGGACAAATTTGAATGTATTCAATCACTTCAAGTACAAAAGCTCACTAGGCAATAAGAGACTTAAAATTAGAAACTTCCAACCTGCAATAATTCATTCGTTGAGCTTTGTTAAGGAAATAATTGAACATTGGGGGTAAAAACCCATTCATCCTGTAATGGAATTTTATATCCTTTAATAGGCAGTCGTTATTTTTTTTTACCCATAAGATTTGTCATCGGCATCCTTATAAGCAAATTTTTTAGATAAAAATATAGTTTTTTTGTTCCTAAAGAAAGCTCAAAGATGGGTTTATATTCACAAGTAAATATAGTAAATTGTGATGAACAATTCTATTAACGTAAAATCTTCGTCAAAAATCTGCCAATACCTAAAACCATGCATTCTCGTATATTTAGAAATCCAATATATAAGAAACGGTCAAAAGAACGATCTAGAAAATTAATAAAACGCAAAATGAAACTGAACAACACATGATTCTGGACAGTTTTAAAAATGCCTCTCTAAACTAGTGAGCATTTAATAATTTATTTTCAAGCTAAATCACTGTAAAAATACCAACAAATATAAACTGTCAAAAGATTTAATTGCTCAAAATGTGTATGTGTGTGTAAAAACCAAATCTCAAATTGATATTCTGGTTTGATGATTTGCAATATTTGACATATTTACCCCAAAAATAAAAAATAAATTAAGTTACTGAGTTTTATTTTTATTTTTATTCTTAGCGAGAAAAAAACAACGATATTTATGAAAATTATGAATGAATCCTGAAAACAATTACTGAATTAGGTCAACATAAACGAAATCAGCACAATTAATAATTGGTCATTCTTGCAGCGAATATTCGAAAATAATCAAAAATATGACTAATAAAATATAGGTTAAATTGTAGAGATAATTTGGACAGAACTATTCATGAATTTTTAAATGTGGGTGTGTATTTTCCTATTATATTTGCCTTTAATTGACTTTAATATTATTGACAAGTTTTAATAATTTCTATTTCAAAGTTGCGGGAAAAATTTGGTTTCTATGAATTTTCTACCATTGAAGCTTATTCAAAAAATAAATTTCTTACCTTTCTAAAATTTTACCCCCGCAACCCGCACACACTTTAACACCTCCGGCAGTCCCAGTCGTGTTGTTGTTGTTGTTATTGTTATTGTTGTTGTTGTTGATGTGATGGTGGTGGTGGTGTAGGTGCGGCGGCGGGAAAGGCCCTGCTGGGTGGTGGTGATGTTCGTGAGGTCCTCCACCCCCCATCACGTGGTGGCCGTTACTGTACGCCCCGTCCGGAGGCGGGGAGTGAGGAGACGGCAGCTCCGTGTAGGGGTGGTAATGTGGGTTCATTGTTGTCGCGGCCAGCTTGAAATCCTGCAACAGAAAAATAAAAAACCGCCTTTAGAACAACGGTCCAAGAAAATTGGGAAGGCAGTTGTCATTTGCGTTACGTGATGGAATACGACCGATATCACTGGACCGGAGAGATGATTCTTTCCGAGAGGATGTTCAAAACCGCATTACGACCAAGGCAAATTGATCGGCATCCTGAGGAAGTCAAGAAACGACGAAAAAACTTATTAAAATGCCTTATGAAAAGGAAATAAACTGTGGTCCAGATGTCATTGACTGCCGACGTGGATTTTTTAGACGCGATTGTCTGGTCATCCGTGATATTACATTTATTTTTTGTACTGCAAAGTGTTTTATTTTTAGATTTGGGATCCATCGTTACATTCCTATTTAAACATGGAGAAACAACGTTGTTCATTGATCAATCCACCAAACGAATTTCAGCAACTTGGGGGATTCTCGATCCGCGTAAGCCTGAGAAGAGGGTTTGTTTATAACACATTACAAAAATTACAATTATTAAATGCGGCAAATAAAAGGTGATGAAATTTGAAGTTTAATTATATGCTCTTGATATAAGGTAGGGTGAGACAGACAGGAGAGTAGAAAAAGAAAAAGTAATATAGGTGAGAAAGAGAAAGAAAGAGACAGGGGTAGAGAGAAACAAAGAACAAGTGTTAAGAGCGGACAGGAATGGAAAAGGAAAGGGAGTGTGAGAAAGTAATCATATGATACAAAAATGTATTAGTATCTGCAACCTGATACCATAAAAACATTACCATTTCGTTTAAGTCGTTGATGTAGGGAAATAACGAAAAAATCATATAAGCCTATAGGGTCAAAGATTTATATCATATATCAGTTAGTGGATCCTATTAAATGTGTTCAACAATGAACACTTGAATTCACACCAAAGAAGCCCGCTGGGATCTTCAGTGAGGAAATAAATCTCTTAGGCCCCCTAACCATTGAATCACCGTCTAATTTCGACGGCAACTGAAGACCATTTAAAAAAAAAATTAATGCCATTTACGTTTTGGTTACTAAACTTTAATATCAGAAGTATAAAATTAGCACGGCAGAAATGCGGCGGCTGATTATTAAGTTTTCCCACAAAATTTACTGTGAGTCATTGGCAATGAGTAGAAGCCGGGGGCTAAGGAGAACCAAATGTGGCAAGCCAGTTGGGTTTAATAAACAGGGTTGAATTTTTCTTATTACAAATGTGGTCTAAAACGGAAAATATAGAAACTTTACTTTTTTATTCTATATAGAGCTAATATATAGAAAGAGGTTTATCTCTCATTAAAGTACTTTTACTACAAAAAATCATCCAAGTTTATCTGAAATTTAATTATTTTTAACCCAAAAATTTCTTTTATCGAGGAGCCCTCGGCACAACCATTTAAAAAAAAATTATATCTATTTATAATTTAGAAAAAGCAGAACCATATTAAAATTGTATGCTTTAACCTGGGGACAATCCAATTTTTCAATTTCTTTCAGAAAGTATGTCATGATCAGGTGAATTCTCTTCAACTTCGACTCGAAGGAACAAATATTTATTCTGTAAGTTCCTGACTAGTTTATTCCTTGGAGCCAGTTCTTTCAAATGACAAATGTAAAGAGCATAATTTATTTTCCACGGAAGGATTTACCTGAGGAATCACATTAAAAAAAATGCCCGTTTAATTTCCAACGATGTTCGAAAATGGGAGGAAATAATTTAACGCTTTCTGGTAAATGTGAGCATTAAAATTACCCACGTTTTATATTTTTTTATATAATAACATAACGATTCGAAAATATATTTTTATAAATGCCAATAAATTTATTTGAGACCTATTACTTAAGCCTCCTACATTGATACCTAAATTATATAATCACTTTCCTATTCAGCTACAAATTGTCTGTCACTAATGACAATATAATCACTAAAATGTCAGTACCTAATAAAAATAATTGGTAGTCGTTTATTTCAAGCTGATTAGTCAGTTTGTCAAGATGGCCCATAATCTGTAAATTTTATTCCTGTCCCCTTTAAAAAATCCCACATAAATGTTATTTTTCATAATTTTTAGTGGTGTTTTACTATTTATTCCTGGAGAGAATATGGCGCTAGACTTTAAAACCCAATTATCTCAGGTAATAATACAATTTTAGAAAATATGAACATAATAAATAATCGAAACGAGTTCATACTAATTTTGTTTTAAAAATATATAATTTTAGTTCCTTCAGTGACACGGATAGGCTACGGACGTGGTTGATGAACGATTATAATGAAAGTAGGTAAAACAGGGGTTTTCTGCTTTTGTTGTGGATTTATTTCAAGGTTATTATGTATCAGTCGATTCGTTCTTTTTCGTAATATGAGACAATAATGTCATATTGTATTAAATAACATTAAATACATAACAAATTACAAAAACAAAAAGAAGCTTCCACTAACGTAGGTCAAAAGTTTTTAAGCACCCTTCAAAACCATAAAATAGAGAGGAGTTTAAACCGCCAAAGCACAATTTAAAGTGTTCAGATTACTCGAGACTCCTAGAGTACCTAGGCGAAAGATTCATAGTAGGCGGTGATTTCAACGCTAAACATGTCGACTGGGGATCAAGACTGACTAACACCAAAGGCCGCGAACTAAGGAAAGCTACGCGAGAGTGCGTCTATCATTCTACAGGGAAACCAACCTACTGGCCAACAGATTGCAACAAAATACCAGATCTCTTAGACTTTTTTATTACCAAAAAAGTTTCTCCTAACTTCATTAAAGTAACAGAAAACTTTGATCTAAATTCTGATCACTCAGCCGTTATACTGACGCTAAGTGAAAAGATAATAAAAAACAATGCAAGCCAACATTAGTTAATTTAACTACTGACTGGAGTAGTTTTGCCTTAGACGTGGATGCAAAAACAGTCCTTAATGTTCCTCTAAAAACGGAAGAACAATTAGATAATGAAGCAGAGGTGTTCACCTCAATCATTCAGACTTCAGCATGGTGTAATACTAGACAGACTATCCATAAAACAATTGGCTTTAACTACCCCAAGGAAATTAAAGAACTAATAAATCAGAAAAGAAAGGCTAGAAGAAGTTGTTACAAAAACAAAAAGAAGCTTCCACTAACGTAGGTCAAAAGTTTTTAAGCACCCTTCAAAACCATAAAATAAGAATTTATATGACATAAAATTTTAATAATTTTGCGCTGGATTCACAGCGGGAGATTGGTTTTTCTCACTGATGTCCCTTAAAATTCTTCTGAAAATTTCCTTAAAACTTCTAAGGATTATATCTGATGTCCCCGGTATCACAACGTCGAAAAGCTACATTGGCTCTTCTTTGAGCATATGTACCAACAACCTTTGGTTTTTATGTTTTGCAATTGAGACAAATAATGTTTCCCATGAAAAACTTCCTAAACGTTTTATTTTACATTTCCGATTCTGATTTAATTACGAAAGCCAAGTATGTGCCAAGCGTGTGTGTGTGTGTGTGTGTGTGCAGTATTGGGTTCTAGGCCACTGATAAACTTCCTAAATTTATGTAAATCACTCCTAGGGTTCATCGGCATGGGCGTAGTCTATATGTATGTACACCAAAAAAGTTTAATTTCAACTGGTAATTCACTTCCTTAGCCTCACGAAGAAATTTAAAATTAATACGTCTTTAAATAAAATTAATTAATCACACCAAACTTTAATATTTTTTTATTCATAGATATTATTATGCATATTATTTATTAGGTTGATTTTGAGTTGAAAAGCTTTATTATATAAGCACAAATAGGAAGTTATTTGGTAATAAACTTTATTTTTTGCTAAGGTCATGTACGAATGAATGTACATGAATGCAAATGAATTTTTATTGCATACAATTTGTGACTTACAGTATTTGTTTACATGTGCATTCAGTTGACTCCAGGATATTATTGCACTTTTTTCACTTGGTCCGTATTAAATATAAGTAGCATTTTCTCTTTAAAAATACATTAAAAATAAAACAGTTTACGGAAAATTAAAAAAAATCCAGGCGTTACAGAAATATAATAAAGGTATAAAACACTAAAAATACGCAGGTACATCAGTTCAATAAATAAATTAAAAAAATAAACAAGACACAAAAGAAAACAAAAACAAAATAAGCGTATTCAATTACATATTATAGACGACAAATGAACTAATTGACAAAGATTTGAGATCTATTTATACATTATTTATCACAGGTTATGACTGGCAGACGCACATTTCCTTTCAACTCATGTTTATTAATTTCAAACAATAGGTGCTTAAGTGATTTATACTTGTATCTATAACCGTAACGTCATAAATGACATTAAGATAAACACAGTAAATACATTATTTTTGAGTATTGTTGAATCATTTTTTCAGATTAGGTATTACACCTTAATATTTGTTAATATATATTATCATTACTGTAGATTTTGTCGTTACTGTGAAAGGAAATGCTTTATTATTAAACCTATTGGAAGCATAAAAAGCAAGGTTTTTGGTAAAAGATTTTATTTTTTAGCTATGGTCTTTGACGTTTCATCACAGTAATTAATAGTAACAAGATTGCGTATTACTATAGGAAGAGGTAATTCAAAGGTGACCTATTCACAGCCATTGGGGAACCGAATTGATTGGGACCGAGCCTTGTTCGGATTAAGCCTAGTTCCCACGGCTTGTGGTTTGGCGAGGCTGGTCTGGAGTTTGTCATACCTAACACCAGTCTCGTTGTTGTTCGAGGTGGCTCGGCCTTTCAAGTGTTTTGACGGTAAATATTCCAATCTCAAAAGATTGGGGCTCCACGGATGACAAGCCTCAGTAGGTCTCGAACACCCGTCCCAACGATTTGTTGTGGTTGGGTGCATTCTTCTACCGAATTGATTTTCAACATCTTTAAATCATTATAGAACTCTGTACTCCCGTTGATATTGAAATCAAACCTGACTTCATTAAAAAATATGACGCAATGTGGGACTAGTGGCCGCTCGAGGTTTGCCATGCAAT